GTAAGCAATATAAGTCTCTGTGTTTACTTGGTTGGGTCTGAGCGGGTGACAGAGATTTGTCCTGACTGTGGGCAAGGCAGGAAAACTCCAGCTACATCTGCTCCTAGCGACTGTGGCATTTCTAGGTTGGTTCTGGGGCTACACATCCTCAACATCCAGTTTGGATTTTATGGGTCAGGTTTCCTCTGGCCAGAGTGCTCTCTGCTCATGTCATGGCTCTTTGTTTGCTTGAGGTGTGGCCCAGTGCTTTCAGCCTTACCCACCTTATATCACCCTTTTTATTTTATTTTGTGGCTACTAGTTGGCCTTACTCACCTCACATCACTGAAGGAAGTCAGGACAGGAACTCAAACAGGGCAGAAACCTGGAGTCAGGAGCTGATGCAGAGGCCATGGAGAGGTGCTGCTTACTGGCTTGCTACTCTTGGCTTGCTCAGCCTGCTTTCTTATAGAACCCAGGACCACCAGGCCAGGGATGGAACCACTCACAATAGGCTGGGCCCTCTCCCATCAATCACTGATTAAGAAAATGCCTTATAGCTGGATCTTATGGAGGCAGTTTTCTCAGTTTAACTTCCTTTCAGATAACTCTAGTTTGTATGTCAAGTTGACATAAGATGAGCCAGCACATGAGTTAATTCCTACTCCCATCGAATGATCTATAATCCTAGGCTAGAAACAACCTTGTCTGGTTGAACTCCAAGATTCACATAATAGGATCCTTGGAGCTCAGACCCTGAAGGTGTCTTGTAACAGCCAAGTCCATCTAGAAGATGCTCTTGTCAGTAAGAGTCCTGCAACACAGGCACTATTCTCCCCATATCCATGACTTTCTGTGTGTCAGGAGAAGGACACCTCCCTCTCAGTGAAAGCCTTCCTTTCAAGCAGTTTGTGTGAAGAATGAGAGAGAATGACAAGTGCCTGCCATCCTGGAAGAAGTTCCCAATAGACCACACTCCAGGGGCTCTGAGCTGAGACGTATTTTAAGGAAGAAAATGTTTCTTGTGCTCATCTTGATTTTGCTGTGCTGGCACAGGCAGACATGTCTCATTGTTTCTGACCCTCTGTCTTCATGTGTACGGACCACAGTCCTGTGTACAGTCCTCTCCTCCTCCTATGTGCACAGACCACAGTCCTGTGTACAGTCCTCTCCTCTTCCTATGCACACGGACCACAGTCCTGTGTATAGTCCTTTCCTCCTATGCATTTGAAATATACTATTTTTGAATAGGTGCTTCCATTTTAGCTCTTTTGCCCATTTTTAAATGCTATTTCATGACCAGGTGTACAGCAAATTAAGGTAATTATAGAGAAAATTAAAGCAAACAGCTCCTTGATATGAAGGGAATTTTTTCCATTAGCCTGATCACCAGGATCTATCACTCTATGTCCTGTTAAGGCCATGCCATCCAGCAGATTTGTGCACTGTGTGAGATACTGTTTCCTTCCTCATTGAACACAAATGGACAATGGCATAGACTTTTCTAGCTGGCTCATCACTTGTGTAGAAATTTGTAGAAAAAAAATGCTAAATATTTACCTTCCAATATGTTTGTTATATTTATAATTTTAAAGATTTGTTTTATTTATTTGCCTGTGTGGTCTGTGGTACGTGTGCATGTGCGTGCGTGCGTGCGTGCGTGCGTGCGTGCGTGTGTGTGTGTGTGTGTGTGTGTGTGTGTGTGTGTTCATGTGTGCCCATAGAGGCCAACAATTTGTTGGATACCTTGTAGCTGGAGTTACAGAAAGTTGCAGGCTGCCTGATGTAGGTGCCGGGATCTAGATTCTGGTCCTCTGACAGAGCAGGAAGCACTCTTAGCCACCGAACTGTCTCTCTAGCCCCCACTCTTTCATTTTTTAAAAATATATCTAATTTTAAACTCAGCATGGCTGTGACCGTTCTCTGGCCTGCTTATTTTTGGAAACACTAAAATTTGATAAGAATTTGCCTCTGGCCTGGAAGCAGCAGCAGAGACTGTTCTTTGTCAGCAGGTTACGGACCAATGGGCTACACAGTTGCTTTCTTTAAGCACCAATTCCCTCTGCTCCCTGACAGCCTTTGCCTCCTCTCTAGAAGGGATGAGGTGTTACAGAGAGACTCTGATGCCATTCCCTTTGTCTACCATACCCTTAAAGCACTGGACCCCAAGAAACTTACTCAGGAATCTCATGCCCTGAGGAAAAAATTCTGAAGCCTGGGACCAGCCAAGGGGGTTCTTGGATCCCAAAAGAAGGAAAGAGAGTTCAATACAATTCTGACAAGTTGTAAGATTGCTTTGTAGGACTACCACTGACTAGCTCTTACATTTAAACTCAGCCCATTTCTGTTAATCTATATGTTGTCATGGCTTTACCTGTGTGCCATTACATGCTGCTCCCTGGACTAGATAGTTATAATTATAGTTTTCCTTGGTTATGATAAAAGGTAAATTAGATATAAAACTTGAGACTCACTAATATAGGGTAGATAGAATGTTTTCTTTAATTTTGCCAAATACAAATAGACTAGATATTATAATTGTAATTCTTGCTTGATAACTGTTCTATTAGATGTAATTTTACTATGTTAAAGTTGAAATCTTCCTTTTTGATTAGACAGAAAAGGGGAAGTGCTGTGGGATGTTCTGTATGCTGTGAATATGTGTTGCTCTGATTGATTGATAAATAAAATGCTGATTGGCCAGTAGCCAGGCAGGAAGTATAGGCGGGATAAGCAGACAAGGAGAATTCTGGGAAGAGGAAGGATGAGTCAGTAGACACCAGCCTGCTGTCCAGGGAGCAGCATGTAATGGCACACAGGTAAAGCCACAAAAAATATGGCGACATATACATCAACATAAAAGAGTACAAATGTAAGAGCTAGTCAGTGGTAGGCCTGAACTAATGGCCAAGGAGTTTTAATTGAAAAAAAAAAAAAAAAGATTGCTTTGTAGGAGACTTGAGTTTAGACAGTGGTGGTGGTTGGGACCACACCTTGTCCCAGGTTGGTTAGGTAGGAACACTTCCTGCCCTGCGGTTAGACCTGAGCTTCATGTTAGGAGCACCAGAAGAACAACCAGGGTGAAGGTGTCCCCGACCTCCTTCTCCCACGTGAACCACTGTGGGCAGCTCTCCTCTTATGCTTTCATTTGGTACGTAGGTGGCTGTTAGCACCCCTACGATGCAGCTCTGGCCCTGATGATGTTTCGGGCGTTTTTTAAAACAGACAGTTCAGCAGGTCAAATTCTTACCTCCACATTGCACAGGCACTCCTCCAGCTTCCTCACGACTTCAGAAAACTCGGGTCTTCCCTGTAAAACAAGAAAAGACTATTTTTCCCTCTTAAGAACAAAATAAAGGAAACTCTTCAGGTTTGAAAATTGAGTATTTGCATTTGTAAAGAATGAGATTAGCAAAAACGTATATTTTTATTTAAAATGTGCTTGTATTGAAGGGCTAATTGAATGCACATTTACTGTTCGTGGAGGGATGTTGAGTCTTTCTGTGATAAGAGGTTCAAGTCAGAATTTGGAACTATGTTCAGATAATGAAATAGTGGAAAATCTTTAATTAGCTCTGCATGTTTTTAAATGGCAGGGTTTCTTCTTCAAAATGAAAGAATAAATGTGAATGCTGAAAACTATTAACTGTCTTGACGCCTTACAATGTGCTGTCCGCATCCCCAGGGAAAGAATCCTGGCTCTCATTTTGTAATTAGCTTCTGGGCAGGCATCTCAGATTTACAACTAAGGCCAAGGTAGGAACCTCGCGACTATGCCCTACTTTTGAGTTTAGACTTTTAGCTTCAAAAACTGCCATCGAAGATATTGGCTATTATGAACTTCAAAGTCATATAAGTTTAGCTAAGTGGTTATTGTGTCTTTTTATATTTCAAGCCTTGTTCAAGTTGTAAGGGATATAAAAATGAATGAGGACCTACAGGAAAAATTCTTGAAATCTTGGGAAATGTTGGTTTCTTTTAAAGAAATAATGTTTCCTTGTGTGGGATACTAAGGGCTGTGCACCCCACCACTTCTCCCTTTATGAGAGTTTCACTGCCAGGAGGGGGAGAGGTCGATTGAATGTGTAGGCTCAGCAGCCAGCTAATTTAGAATCTTAGCAGAACAATTTCTCCCTCTCTATCTATCCCTCCCCCGAGGACACTGTGTGCTCCAGAGCCCTCACTAGTGGGAGCTGCTCTGTAGAGCAGTTCTACTCTTCTGAGTTGGGGGATGGTGGCAGGGTGGCTGGCCAGCTGTGTCTTCTTGCTGCTCTTTCTACATTGTATCGACTTCTCCTTTCAGTGCATCATACTATCATCCCTTCCACATAGTCAGTCTCCTTTCTTTGAAGTTTTAAGGACTGGTTTACATTCAGGCTCTGTACTCTCTGTACCCTTAAGGGTACATGCAGAAAGTCCTCAGCACCCAGGCCTTCCCCAGTGACCATTCACATGGTCACTCGCTCTGGGGTCCTGTCTGAGTCCAATAAAAAGCACTATGGGTTCTTCCCATGCTTTCCACTCTCCTCCATCATTACACAGTCTATGCTCCTTCCCTTCCTTTGTGTGCTTCAGAATTTTAGTTGTAGAACATTAATTCCAACACTCTTGGACACTGGTTCTCCAAAATCATCCTACCAATAAAAATGAAACCTTTTTATTGGGCCACATTTGAATTGGTCCTCAGACCCCATACCATCCATCTAATTCACCCTCTGCTGTATGCTTGTCTTACCTACTTCGCACATCCCTCTTGTTGTCTTGTATTTCACCATAGTCATTAGTCATTAGTTATTAGTCCCATCTACAAAGCCCCAACTCCCTTACTCTTTCTTGTCTTTGAATTCCCTTAAAAATGATGCCAACCTTACTTAAATCTATACTGACTAGTCTTAACATCATCACACTTTAACCCCAGCTGGCCTCTGGCACAGCCAAGGGAGCCTCATTCTTACTTCTGTCCTATGCTCTGTCACATCTTGCAAACTCTTCCTAACTCTCTAGCTCCCAGGATGGCATCTCCCTCCCACCTGTTTTGGCTACACACAGCCTCCCTCCCCTTTTGTTTCCAAGGAGAGAGGGACTTGCCTACTTTTAACTGTAACTAACTTTTTTATTTGTGTGCTCTTCCAGGAATTCTCCCCACTGTTTGTTTTACTTGACTGCCCTTATTGTTCATCCCTACCCTCCTACAGATATAGGGTGTTTTCTCCCATTTAAAAATAAGCAACAAAATAAGAATCACATGTGGACTCTTTCAAGGATCCACTCCATTTTATCTGCTCACTGTAGCAGTTCTTTCTCATCGGGATTCCCAGCCTGCAAATAATGACACAGAGACTTCTTATTAATTATGAAAGCTTGGCCTTTAGCTTGGGCTTATCCCCACCTAGCTCTTACAACTTAAATTAACTTGCTTCTATTACTCTACGTTCTACCATGTGGCTTTTTACCTCTTCTCCATCTCTCTATGCCCCACTTGTTCTGCATCTCCTGGAGCCTCCTGCATGTCTAGATTCTTCTTCCCAGTTTCTCTCTCCCTGCCTGGAAGTCCCACCTAGACCTCCTGCTTAGCTATTGGCCATTCAGATCTTCATTACAGCAACCACAGCAATACATCTTCATGCAGTGTACAAATATCCCACAACAGCTCACTTACCTGCAAGATGCACTAAGAAGTGTTTTATCCTGCTGTCTTTAAACACCCCACACCTTCACTCCATCATGCTTTCTCCTCAACACCTTACTAGAATTGTTCTTGGGAGAACAAACACTTTCTTTTTGCTAAAATCAATGGTAAGTTTCAACATTCATCTTACTTGTTACAGCATTAAATATATTCCTTTGTCCCTAAAATACATCTTTTCAGTTGACTTTGAAGCCATTGTCTCAGGATTTGGTACCTTGGTTCTCTTCTTTTTCTCAAAATTTTGAATTTCCCCAGGACAATTCTAATTTGAGTCAGTTTTTTGATGAATTGGCAGCCTCATCTCTGTGAAGAACAACTCCAGGCTTCCTACCTCTAGATACCACACATACAGTTGAGTGCCCTTAATCTTTCCCATTTCAGTCAATGACAACTGTGTCTACCTACTGAGACCCTAAAGCAGAGAATGGTCTTTGACTTCTGTCTTTACTGTGTCTGCATCCAGTAGACTGAAATTATACAGTTTCTCCTTCAATGTTTATCCCAGACCTCCATGATCAAGTAGCTTATGCTAGATAAACCTGCCTACAGATAAACACTGTAAGCCCTAGAAAAATGTGAAGAAGACCCCAGAGCATGGGCAAACCAGGTAGGACCTAAAGGAGGTGGTCACTCAGCGGGGAGGAAGGACACGAAGGAAGTCATACGCTTTTGTTCTTTTAGTCATAGCATTTGCTCTGAGGGTAGATACCCATCACAGGAATTTAAACTCCTATAGTTTGTTTGAGTAATCAGAGGGCAAAATTCAGATCTGTCATAATACAATGTCCATTGCAATATAACAAATGGTTCTGTGAGTCTTTAGCAAAACGTATGGTTTTATTGTTGTCATTTATACCTTGTTTCTATGGGTCATAAGCACAGCACAGTTTAGCTTGGTCCTTTCCTCAGAGTCTTATCATACTGAAATCAAGGTGCTGGATGCCACTGAGACTCTTATTTGAGGTGCAGTGGTTACCTCCAAGACCATTGGTGGTTGGTAGAATGCATTTTCCTGTGCTTGTGTGACTCATGTCCTTGCTTTCATAATATATTGTTCAGGAATGGCCCTAAACTTTCAGAGGATGCCCACAGCTACCTGACATGGGTAGTTCACAAGACAGATGCTTGGGTTTCTCCTGGCCAGCATGGGCTCATGTCCCTGAGTGACTCCTCTGACCTGCTATAAATAATCACTGTCCCCAAGTGGGTCGTCCCCACAGGACATTCCTCTAGCATAGGACAGAAGAGAATCATAGATGTAACACCTCATCTCCACATGTTCTGTCCACTCTCCTGGAGAGGGGTCATGTATATGTATATAACAGATGAGAATCTAATGGGTCATTTTAGAATCCTGCCTATCACAAGCAGGTAGTAGAGATCAAAGGGATCCTAGGGTAAGAAACTCCAGGATCCTGTGTGAACTACCTAAACCTCTGCATAAGCCCTGAACTACACACATGGGCAATACTCTGTTGCCTAGTAAGGCCACAGAAATGAGCTGAGGTCACATTTATAGCTCACAAGGTCTAATTCTGGATATTTTCTCACTGTACAATTGTCTGACATTTATGTTCAGCCTGGAGAAAACTGACACACTCTGCAGATCCAACTAATAAACTACATCCCTCTGGTGTCCAAGTGATTCCACAAAATAGCTTCCCATCTTTTACTAGATTTGTCTCAGTTTTCCTTAGAACTAGGTGAATACATGTCAATACCACTAGCCACAAGGTATTTTGAAAGTGAGTAATGTTGTATTTATTCTTGCAGATTTAGCATTGTCTACCAGATTGATTTGAGTTTACTTTTGTTAAGTCAAATTATATCATTAAAATAACAAATTCATCTTCAACCTACCTACCTCTCTACTGCCAAAGCCACATCCGGTCCTTCTGACATCATCACAATCATCACCTATTACTGCAGCTTCTCCACGTGTTTCGAGTATGATCCAGACGTAGTCAAGGTAATCACTTAAGCATGCACCTCAGATCAAGCACTACTTCCTACAAAGCCTGTAATCACATCCCATTTCATTTGCATAAGTGAAACACAAAGTCCCTGTTTTCTTCTCTAAGGCACACAGCAACCTGTCATGTGATCTCTGACCGACCCTTCCTCTTGCATATTCCCATCAGGCCACACTAAATGTGTGTGGGGCTCATCACATCCATCCAAAGCATTTGATCTGTGTGTCACATCCATCCAAAGCATTTGATCTGTGTGGTCTACCACACCCCTTGTGTGTGGCTCAGTCCTCCCTCAGGTGGATGTGGTTCACCATACCCCTCATGTGAGGTCACTCTACCATCATGTGTGGTCTACCACATCCTCACGTGAAATCTACCGCCTCTCATCCACATGAAACACCTATTTTCATGTGTACTTGTTTGTTGCATTCGTCATTGCATAAGATGCACACCCAATGAGCCAGGGCTCCACCTGCATCTCTGTTCCCAAAGAATAAAGGCCATCATCTGGTGCACACCCAACGAGCCAGGGCTCCACCTACATCTCCATCTACAAAATATAAGGGCCATGATCAGGGCCTTGGATCTGAAAAATTTACTAAAACTCTTATTGAAACAGTAACTGGATTAATAACTCCTACTCCACCC